TTGCGAGATGAGCCTTCCCATCAAGTTAAGATTCGTGCTTTTAGGCCGGTCTTACATGCTCTCAAATGTAATGATGTTCTGATTTTGAGCCTGAAGGGTGTGGTCAGGTCTGCCTCTGCTGCCCTGTGGTGGCTGTCTGTGTTGAGGCAGTGGCCTCTTCCATGTAGGTTTGGGGTCTGAAGTGTCTCCAAGAACCTAGTCAGGGCCATTCTGGGGTGTCTGGTAAGTGGGAGGCTGAAGGGCTGTGGAGGGAGGGCAAGGAATATAGACCGCACAGCAACACCGTCTATGACTTTGGAGGACAGAGAAATGGACATTACTGGGAGATCCATGTATTCCAGGAAGCCTGTTTCAGCGAAGGAGCAAGCAAAGAGGAATCCTACATGCCTGTGGCCTCTTCCCCAGCAACAAGGCAGGTTCTGCCATCTTTTGGTCTGGATCCTAATATACAGACCAAACTGGGTCTGATTCTTTTCCTCAAAAGTAAGGGATGAATCCCATTACATTAGGACACTCCAAACCTGCCTGGAGTCCTAGTTCTGAAGAAGCAAAATTTTGATGATTGATGAGCTACCCATGAGCTCTGCACACTTGAGCTCTGGAGTCTCCTGCTGGAGGAAAGAGGCTGCATGCCTTGACTGTCCCTGGGGCACTCTCCAGAGGCCTACTGGTTCTCATGGCCCTCTCCGGCAGAGTCTCCACGGCCCTCCACTCCTCACCAGGGCAAGCCTTTGTTTCATTACCCTGTCCTCCTGGATGAGATCTTGTCTCCTCTCTTCCAGTCTCCTACCCAAGTGTGGTCGAGTCTCCTTAGGACTTTGGCCAAGGAAAGCTAGTTGTGGCAGAAGCCTCCCTCTGGGTGGGCCATGTCAACCTGGAAAAAGATCCTGAGGCACTGAGAAAGTATCAAGAGAGTTTATCTGAGCCAATATGTGTGACTGTAGCCCAGGAAAAGCATCACCAACTTGCCTTGGGAAGTGCTTTCCAAAGGGCTGGCAGGACTTCAGCATTTTTATAACCACACAGCAAGGAAGGGCAAAGAGGAAGGGGGTGACACTGTGACGATGTGTATTCGGTCTTCCTCCCAGTCTCCTGACATACAAATCCTAAAATCCTTGGAATCCCCAAAGTGCTGAGTCTTTTTGTATGTTAACGATGGCTGGCAGCCCCTAGGGAGCTTCAGGATGGGGGCTGGTCACAGGAAACAGCAAAATGGGACTTTCAGTCCCACCGCCAACTTCTGGGGAAGGGAGAGGGGCTGATCACCAGTGGCCTGCGACTTAATCAATCACGCCTATGTAATGAAGCCTTTGTAAAAACCTGAAATGCCTGGGTTGGGAGAGCTTCTGGACAGCTGAGCACGCGGAGGTTCCTGGAGGGTGGTGCACCTGGGGAGGACATGGGAGCTCTGTGCCCCTTCCCCATACCTCACCCTGTGCATCGCTTCATCTGTATTCTTTGTAATATCCTTTATAATAAACAAGTGAACATAAATATGTGCTTTCCTGAGTTCTGTGAGCCACTCAAGCAAACTAACCAAACCCAAGGCAGGGATTGTGGGAACCCTGATTTATGGTTGGTTGGTGTTGGGAAAATGGAACAATCTGGTGAGGCTCCCCTCGCCTCGTAGCCAGTTCAGCGTGGTTTGGTAACACTGTGTGGGTGGAGTGAGTGCGCCCACACAGCGTGGCTTTGGCTGGTGTTTACTGCCGCGGGCATCTGCCCTGCGTGGCCATATTTGTCCAGACCTGCAGCTTCCAAGAACCATGTGGCCACTTGCCTAGCTTATAGACCTGCAGAAAGGGGTCTGGTGACCCAGCCTGGCGTGTGAAGGGTTTGTGACCCAGTCTGTGAAGGGGCTTGAGGGGTCTGGGAGCTCCAGACCCAGCCCAAGCTCAACCATCGTCCCAGTCCGCGACAGGATTGTGAGCAGGATAAGCGACATCGGCCTTAGCCTTAGCCTCGCAGTAGCCAGACAGTTGGTCAGAAGTTCCAGAGGCCTGGACATGCAGCTGGCACCTGAAGTGGGAGGCAGTCTTGGGGACTGAGTCCTCACCCTGTGGGATCTGACGCTATCTCTAGGTAGACAGTGTCAGAAATCAACTGGAGGACACTCCACTGAAGAATTGCTGGCTTTCTTGCCAGTGGGGAGAAATCCCCACACATTTGTCACAGAATTCGGTCTTCTGTGTTGATTGTGCTGTGAGAGCAGAGGAAAGACAGTGTGTTTTCCCCACTCACTCTTACAAGGGACAGCTCCTTTATCAGTGTATCAGGCTTTTCATTGGTTCCATAGCATCACATAGGCTAATGATTGGTTCTTGGTTACATCCTATGTACAAATGTATTTGGAAGGGTCACAAGATACATTTTCAGCATTCCTAAGTTAAGACAAATTCTTTAGACATTGATAAGTCTGGTGTTAGGTTAAAAATAATCTTGTGGTAACAGTTCCAGAATGTGTGGAACCCCATTCCAGATCCCTGAAGGCTTTTAGGAACTTAGTTGACCTTAGAGCAGGTTTCAGGTTTATCAGCTCCATTGGCCAGTTTACTTCCTGGGATCTCCTTTTTAAAAATGAAGACAGTGAGGCTCAGGAGCCAAGTAATTTGCCCAAGATCACACAGCTAATGAGATGCAGACCTAGGACATGAACGTAAGTTTTCTGGCTCCAAAGTTTATTCTTTCCTATACCACATATACAGCTCACGAGCTGCAGTCCATTCCCAAACATATCCAGTTGCTTGAAACATAGCTAAATATTCACTAAAAAGCTAGGGAACACTCCTTGCTGTCGTTTTCATATTACAGTCAACTGTAGGAGTATGTCACCTTTCCCCTAAATTATCCTTTATGTAAACGAGATTATAGTGCTTTACTAGGAAGTGTTTAAGACTAACTTGTAGGTTGCATCAGCCAGGCTGTACTCTAATCTACACGTGGACAAAATTGGTTTCTTCATAAAACCAACTTTGTAAACATTTGCTGCCCTTTTGACATTCAAATGACTCTGACTTTGGTAGGAAGCCCCCAGACGTAACGTACAATACTAATTCATAACTGTATTCACGATCTTATGAAGATCTTGGCTGAGGCTCTGGGGATCACCCTTGGGAACCCGATGCCCCACAGCAGGTTCAGCGTTTTTACCTTGTCTCCTTGCTCCCTCTTGTGGTCAAGAATGAAGTGAGCACTCAGGCCCAGCGTAAATTCTAGGTATGTAAGTCCAGAAGCATTTCCCAATTTCTGGTGGCAATTCCCCATGGAACTGCATTCCCCTTCTTAGAAATCTAGGTACTTCTCCACCTTACAAAAACTTCTCTAATTATAAAAGAAATACATGTTTCCAAATTTTAGAAATTTCTGAAAACACAGAAAAATGTGAAGAAGAAAATAAAAATAAAAATAAAAATCACCTAGCAGAGATAGTCATTGTCAAATTTTGGTAAAATTTTCCCATTTTTTTTTCTATGCAGGTACATATACATGCATCATTTATTTATTTAATATGAAATATAATTAGGGGCTGGACAGTTAGCTCAATTGGTTAGAGTGTGCTGCTGAGAACACTAAGTTCCAGGGTTCGATCCCCGTACCAGCCAGCCACCTGAAAAAACCCACCAAAGCAATCTATCACCAGCTCCAGCACTAGCCATTACAATCCCTACAGCTACTCTGGTGAACCTCCTTTGCCCAGTCCTTCTCTCTGCCTTCCCATCAGAGCAATACGCCGATGTTTATGTTTATCACTCCCTTGCTGCTGCTTAAACTACAACACGCACACACATGATTGGATTACACTGTACATACTTTTGTTTCTTCCTGTTTTTTTTTTCCACTGAGCCTTTCTCCCAGATCTCCA